TATATATATGTGTGTGTGCATGTGTAAAAAACAAAACAGAGTATTGCAGTATGCAATGATGCCTTTCTTATTGGACTAACATTATATTCAAAACACAAGCTTTCGAGAGTTAACCTCTCTTGTTCAGGTCAGAAGCTTTATATGGTGGCAAGTGTCATCTTTGGTTTTGGCCTAAAAATTCTGCTCTGGCATGTGCGTTGTGGCACCACTAATTTCAATGGCATCCCAAACGCCCCTCCCGCCCGCAGTGTGATCACCTGCACTGCAACGTGCTGTACTGCAATGTTATGCCTTCAAGTGTGGTTCAAGTGCAAAAATTGTGCATGCAGTTTCATTCTGAAGTAAACTGTTTATAACACTGCATTTGTGTATTTTATTTTAAATAAAATTATGGGTTTTTTTCTGCTTTCTTTTTTTATCCGAATAATCAGAAAAATAATCGACCAACTAATCGATTTATGAAAATAATTGTTAATTACAGCCCTAGTCTTTTAAACCCATGAGAGACGTATCTCTCTTACCCGCTCCCATAAGGTGGTATTCCTTGTCTCCAGCACTTCTGGGAAGCAAGTATGAGTATCTGAACTGGCATCCTTATCCTGCAAGGAACACTTCTGGTTTTGCATTGGGAGAAGGATTCCAGTTCAAAGCAGTAGGACTTCAGTTCACCAAAAGGTAAGCTCCCTCCATTGTCTGGATGTCGTTCAGGCTGTGAGTCTCTGTCTCCTAGCCACTGCTTCTTTCAGAAGACTGACTTCCTTTTTGTCATCCCAAATGCTCCTGTTCCAGCTCTTGTTCCACCATCTCAAGGTGGCTCAGACAGGACATGTTTAAAGCTTATAAGGTCTCAAGGATTGGGTTTCGCCTTTTTCTGCGAAGTCACACTCTACTTAATCTGTGAGTGCTTCTTGGGCTTTGGCATCAGACTACCAATTTTCAGTTTACAAGGCTTCAATCTGGTCTTCTGTTCACGTGTTCTTTAAGTTCTACCAGGTGGATGTTTAGGTCTCATCTAATGCCAGCATCAAGTGTACTGTCATTTAGGCAGCTCATTGAGCTGCAGGCAGTCCCCAATTGCTGTTGTTTTTTCTTGGGCCTGTTAATGGTTTTCTGCTCTGTTGCCTACCCTTCTTTTGGACATCCTGCAGGGGAATTATTTCTGTGTCCCTCAATGGATGAAAAAGGAAATAGGATTTTTGTGCTCTTCCTTCTGTGTTTTTGTTCATGCCCTTGGTACTGCTTTGCTACAAACCTGAGGCATACTGATAGTAGGAGAGGATATCCTGGACTGCCCTACAGTTTTTTTTTTTTTTGCCAGTGTCCAATCCTCCTGTAGACGGCAGTATAACTCGAAGGCAAGTTTCTTCCTGTGTCCCTCAATGGAAAGCATTTTACAATGAGTAAACAAACCATTGTTTATTGTTGTGTAATTAAATTGGGAATATTTTTGTCGTCTTTAATTTGATGTGTTTTATGTGCTCCAACATAATGCAGACTCTCCATTCACTTTTTATTGTAGCAAAGCGTGAATTGATGTTGATCCCTTTGCAAGTGAAGTACAGCCCAAAGCGTTCTCCTATTGAAAATCTTTCTCCAGGGCTGAGTCAGTTGTTATGTGATGAGGAAAACACAATGACAAGGTATCGGCCTTAATACAGAAATAACGTTTTATATTTTAATATATTATATATTTAAACATATATATTTATATATTAGAACACGTGAATATATCTCTCATTTGTTTTGTCAACATTCATGAATATCAGTTTTGGCTCTCTTTTAGTTTCTCTAACTTTACAAGTGGACAGAAAATTACTTTTTTATATACTGAATGTTCCCTGTGCTTATAGGTATGATGTTGCTTGGGCAGAGTCATCAAAATGTAAAGATCCAAGTCCCAGAAAAAGACTTCAGTTTATGTCTTTGGAAGATTCAGAAGGTAAAAAACAAACACTGAATCCATTTGTAATGTAGATTTTGGAACACAGAGTACATACATTATACAGTCCCCTCTAGACTTATATGCAGTGTCCATCTGTGCTGTTGTCTATTTAATAGTGTAACTGTTAAATACAGTTGCATTATTAAAAAATTAAAAATCCAAAATAGGATTATTATTTTTTTTGCACAACTTGTTAGCACAGAGCAGAATATTTTTAATAAAACAGTGATCCAATTAAAAGCCCTACATGTTCATACAAATATATAAAAGTTATTTAGGTATGCAAATTAATTATTGCCAAGTTAACCAAGTGCTCACGCTGCTAAATTTGTTCTGGGCTTAATGAGCACTGGTAGTGAGAGGGTTAAACTTAAGTGGTTGTGTTGAGAAAAAAAATCTTTAAGACTGCTATACAGCATTTTCAGAGCAATTTTACCTCCCATTATAGTTTTGCAGCACTTGGAAAGCACTGCTATTGGTGATCTCACAGGAAACAACATGCAAATGCCTAAAAACAGCTGCAACAAACACCATGCAATGATTCCGATATGCTTGTTTACACCGACATATTAACACGTGGTATTGTCAGGGATTTGACTCATTAAAACTCTTCCTTTCAGACTGATGAGGAGGAAGCCAACACACCAAACAAGTTGAAAATGAAGTCTTGAAACAAATGGCATTTTGGAGCTTCACTCTGACACCCTTTGATAAAGGGGTCCCAGCACTGATCCAAATCACCATTGGTTCTAATGCCTTTTAAGTAAATCAAGGCTTCATTTGCAGCTTGTTTAATATGCTGGCTTCCTTCTTATCTGCCTGATTTCTGCATTGCCTGTGCACCCTCACTTTACTCAACGGCTTTGGGATTCTAGTGCAGGATGGACTCTGTTGATCTTTGCATAGGCCTTTCAGCATCACATTGTCCAACTACTGACACTTTTATACATATGACCCTATGTGATGGTGAGGACGTTTTTCAACACTGTGGCTACACTACAGGTACAGAAATATACTTGTTGATCTGGCTAGAAATGAGCTCCTAATTTCCTTCCTTGGATATGAATGGAGCATTGTCAGCTCCTAATTTCCTGCTTTGGATTTTAATGGAGCGTTGACAGCATTGTCAGCTCCCCGGAGGATCAACAGGCAGGATTAACAAGTATTTCTCTGTACTTGCAGTGTTTTTAAAGAAACAAAATGTACAGGAACTGCATATGTTTTTATTTTTAATGATTTTTTCCCAATTAACACACGTTAACCATAGTAGGTCTTTCTTATCATTTACCTTTTTGAAGATGTTTGTATGGTTGGTTTTTTTTAAAAGGAAAATAATTCCAAAGTGATTTTCTGAAACTGACGTTTTTAGCATAGTAAACGGTGGCAGTTTAAATGTAACAATGTTTCCTTTTTCGGTCTGCTTTTCAGAGAAGCAAAAGACTATCATTAATCCAAAGAGCAGCAGCGAGTCACAGCTTCCTTTAGTAATGCCACCATATGAGACTGAAATTACATGCAATGAGAGAATGAAAAACATGGCTGACACAGAGAGGCTGTTTGATGAGTTAACAGAGGAGAAAAAACAGGTAGAGTGCTCAGCTCTAAGAGTGCTATTTTGGTTTGTACATGGTTTAAAACCCAGTTCAAGAGTTAGGCAGGTGAGGTGCCTGTTTTGGCTACATAGTAATAATGGAAACGTGAATGTTGTACATATTTCTAAAAGTAGCAATCCTTATCTTCTCTTGAAGTTTTTCTGACATTAGGAAGTGCTTATTTTAATATAAATTAACATAATTTACATACAAAATCGGCAGGTTATCTATCCAGTGTTAACACCTGTCTCAGGTCAGTCACATAACCAGATAGGAAACATTATTCATTGTGCATAGATTTGTCCCTAATAACTTAGTAACAATTCAAATCCTATTGTTTCCTATATGCAGCATCTACACCTTTCACTTCCTCCATTTTTAAATCTCCCTTCCCCATTATAAAGGAAAGAGAATGCTGTCTCTTACATGATGTAAGAGAAATATGTGGGATGGTATTTATGAGCGTCTTCTGAAGAACCTAGTTGTTTGGCTGTCATGCTATAATTTTCTGCCAGCTAACATGTTATCCTCATAAGAGGTTTCCTTTAGCCCTGATTACCATCTGAGCGTTTCAAAGCTTGAAGCTCAAAGCTCCAAAGCACTCAACAACCCAAATCCCATGCTTTTAAATTGTGTCTGTTCACATATGAGCACCTATGCACCTATAGCTAAATGCCTGACACTCAAAAAGCTACATGAGCTACTTTTGAGGCAGAATGGTGTGTTTTTGGCTCCAAAGACTTCAATGGGAATGGCTGAACATTAGCATTTGTCATCGCCTCCTAGTAATTAGCTTTCCATTGCAAAAACGCTTATAGGGGAACTATGAGGTGAGTGAAAATCACTCATCCTCATAGTTCGAGCCGACGTGTGACAATGAAACTGTCACACGTCGGCTCAAATAGATCGGGAAGTGAGCGAACAAATACCGCCGCTTGCTCACTTTTCGATCATCTCCCTGCAGAGAGCAGTGACCGTCAGTCACGGCTCCCTGCAGGGATTCCCCCCTCCCCTCTCTGATCCTCCAGCGCTGACTGGAGGAAAGGACGGGGGAGAGGGCGGGTACAGCCGGCTCTGCCTCTAGATAGACTGAGCCAGCTGTCATTCACGCAGCTGAGTGGATCCCACTATACCGCGAGTTACATAGTATTTGAGGTTGAATAAAGACATTAGTCCATCAAGTCCAACCTATTAGGATCTCATTCTAGGAGTACCTGTACCCCTGTATATTACGGTCCCTTAAGAAATCGTCCAAAAGTTTCTTGAACAATTCCACATTCTTTGCTGAAATCACTGTCTGTGGCAGTGAGTTCCAGACCCTAACTGATCTTACTGTGAAGAACCCCCTTCGCCCCTTGTGCTGGAATTTTTTTTCCACCAATTTTAGGTGGTGGCCTCTAGTTTTTGTAATGGAGTTAATTTTAAACAGTTTATCGCTAATGTTGCTGCCACCATTGAACATTTTGTACATGGAGATCATATCCCCCCTTAATCTCCTCACCTCCAATGTGAACATGTTTAAATTTAGTAAAAGGGCCAGTGCTTTTGTCAGATTTTTATTGACATTTATGTCCTTTATTGGGGAGACTTATGCTTACTTGCTGTTGCTCAGCGAGACCGCATTTAGAACGTTTGAAAATGTATTAACCACTTTGGGATTTGAGGCATATCCCATACATCCTGGCCCTAAGATGATTAAAACAAGCTCACAGCTTTTTTCCTTTTTTTATGAAAACCTTGAATTGCTCAGCTCTTAGCACTTCACAGAGCTGTTGAAATTCTGGCTGCAAAGACAGTTAAACAGCATATTGACTACAGTCTGTGCTTGACAGGCTAGAGCAGAGGGCAGGGTAGGCATTGGGGATTTCATAGACCCCTGATGTCTGAATAAAGAATACCTGTCACCTGCCCAATGCTATCACATGGGGGCTTGTTATCCCCCTTGTATTAGCAATCAAGTTAAGTGGGATTTTTTTTTTTTTAAATGTTACAAAAAATGTCAATTTAATAAAATGAAGAAAATTAACAATTTTTTACGTACACACATCAAACTTACACATAGGGCACACACGTGTACCTGAACACTGATTGCTCAACACATATTGAGCATCCACTACTCGCAACCATTGGAAGCTGCTTCACAGACCATTGTTCTCCTCTCTCCTCCAGGGTCCGTTCCTCTCATATACTGCAATAGTTTGTAAAGAAGCCGCACTCCACTTTCTCTAACGTCAAGGAAGTGGTGTGCACCTTTGTCATTTAGGTTATCGATGCATACGCTAGGGTGAGAGAAATAATTTTAGGTCCCTAATTTACAGTTAGCTCTTAAATGATGAGATGTAAAGGCATTTAAGGTGTTTCCTATTTGCGGGGGCACACAGTTTTGGGGCTTAACATATTCTGTATCTATTTACTCGACACAACTTCATCTTTTATCTAAATTTTTTACTGAAGGGAAAA